ATCATAGCTCTGCTATACTACATTTTGTACAAACATAATGAAGAATATGTACTTACAAGCTAAATACGCAAAACAGATGAGCAATAGGGTGAAAGGAGTATTGTTGTCCCTATTTCACAGTATGAGGTCAGAAAGAGAAAGAGATGCCAGACTTTTCACCTTTTGAAGTGCCTTTGTTTTCCCACTGATCCAGAAAAGGAAATAGAGGAGACATGGCTAATTCTGGCCCTTATGAGACAGCTCTGTGATATATTCCACCAGGTACACATTTACCATCACACTCTTAGATCAGGGAAGACTTGCTCACATTAGGAGATATTTCTCTTCTAAACTTTCACAAGCTTTGTTCATTAAATCATTAGCTGCATTAAATAATACACTTATAAACAATCGTTTCTAAAGGCTTCACTGGTGAACAGTGAACAGTGTTTGGTACAGCAGGAGAGTGGATAGTGCCACCACTCATGGCACCACACAGGCCAGTATTTTAGGCACTTCTGAGAGGTGTGGTGTGGAATCACCTCAGTTTGAAGTGACTAATGAAACCAGGCTTCCCTGTTCTTTGCAGGACACTTGAGTTGATCAGTCATTAAATAAAAAGGGGATGAGATCAATTATATGCTCTCAGAACAGGTTTTCAAACAAAAGCAGTCCCGGCTGCCTCACCTGGAGCACAACTAACCCACGTGCACACGTAGGTGCAAACTAGACTAGGTAGAACTGCAAGCAAGATTCAACTTGCAAGAACCAGGCTTTGGTTCTGCAAATACAGAAAGCCTATACAGGCCCAGAAGGAGAATTTCAGTAATTAGAACTCAGATTTCAGAGAAACAACTCTATTTACAGATTTATTGGCACCTTAAGTGAAGGAGGGCTGAGAATCACAGTTGTAAGTATAGACACCAAAAGTTGGGCTCTGCATGCCTAGGTCCTCAAGAAGATGTGGGTCTTTATGCTTTTCTGTGACTTCACTGTAGAAAGCAGATATTTTATCCTATAGTGTTGACTTTGTGGTGATTTCAACTGAGGGAATTAAAAGTTTACAATGCCTGAATAGTGATTTACTACTTGATATTCATATGGATTGGGTTTGTATTTCTTACTACTGGTTCCCCTGACAATTTAGGATTTATCTTTCGATCCATTTTCATTTCAAACCACATAAGAAGAGATGTTATCGACTGCTTTGTATTCAGTGACAAATTCCTCCTCTTATTAACAAACCGTCCTGGCTCTTGCTAAAAAGATGATGCACTTGATAGCACATGGGGATTTAAATACTGTCCACTGAAAGGGTACTTGTGCAGACTAATGCACAGTTCCCAGCAATTCCTAGGCCTAATTGCTACAGACTGGCTGAAGTCACAAGCTTCCAGATTTTGAGTATAGCAACTTGAAACATTCTCTGAATTCAGGTTTTGATCCAAGCGTCATTTAAAAACAGAACAAACAAAAACTAAAAAACAAACACCAGACTACACATCCTACCCCACAATTTAAAAAAATTAAAAAAAAATGAAAAAGAAAAAAGAAAGACCCAAAGCAAAAAAGACAATACAGAGAAGCTTTTGAATTTTGATTTCCTTCTTATCTAGCGCATTTGGACCTAAGACATTACTAAAGCCTACCTAAATATATAAATTTCATTGCAGTATAGAACTGATTAAAAAGTCTTTGCATCTGCCTTTATGGGAAAGAAGTCGTCCTAATATTTAATGTATAGAATAAATTGTCTTTATGGGAAAGAAATCATCCTAATATTTAATGTATAGAATAAAAAGATGCAAAAAAAGAAAAGCAGAAATAAAAGCATGCAATATTTAGAAGACACAAACAAGTAACAGAGCAACCAAGGAAAGTGAGACAAAGATGGAAAAGAGAGACTGCAAGAAGTACAGCAAGATAACAGGAGAAAGGAGACAAAAGCTGATAACAAAGAAAGGAGAAAAAAATACTAAGAAAATATTTTCCTGAGCATCTATTAGATCTTCTCACAAGAATGTTAAAAGAGGAAATATGTTTGTACAAATATTAACAACAGGGTATTTCTTAAAGGTCTTTGTAGTAATTTATACAAATTTTAAGTTTGAAAGTTCTACTGGCAATAGCATTAGATCTAGCAGGTCTTTTGAAGAAGTCAAGGATGCTAACTTGAAGTGCATATTTGTGATGAATTTCAGTTGCCTTGACTGTCTCATATATTTTTTTATGCTTTATTTTTTCAATATTTAAAAACTATAAAGTAGCATCCTAGTTCATGTCAAGTATATCAGAGTTAATTATAGCAGACCATGATTTGCAATGCTACGTGCCTCATGTTAGGCTGCCAAGCCTATTTTTGGATATGAAATAATTTGCCTCAATTTCAGAACGAACTGGACTGAGTCTGCTTCGTCTATACTTCATAAAATTCCCAATGGTGAAATTATTACAAAAATGTATTGCTATTTTAACGCATCAAAAAACTCTCCCATAGAATGCAGAGAATTTTTTGGTTCTTTTCCCAAGGGACTTTAAATCAGTTGGTAAGATTGTGCTATCCACACTAATTCCCAGTAGTGACATAGCATTCCATGAGAAAAACAGAAAATGTGTCTGACCATGTCTTTTAAATGAGATTAGAGATAAGAAAAAAGAAAAGCATCAGCTCTCTCTCTGTGACATTCATTGGCATACAAGCCTTCTTTTCTTTCTCATACGTGAAAAATCTAAGACAGAAGTTTGATTTCCTTAGGTTTTTTTTTTCTGGCTTTAAATGTAATACTTCCATTAAGATTTCATGTGAGTAGCTTCATATGTGCCATGTTATAATAATCTGTTGTCTGCAAAATAAATTATACATGCAGCATATAAGTATATAAGCTAAAGTATACCACAACTTCTGCAAAACTTGGAAAAAAAAGTCTGAATTTACAATGCCAGTTGATTCCTGTTGTCAGTGTGATTAGCTAGTGGTTATATCAGTGTTACTCAAAACAATATCACAGCCAGAAACCCTGGTTCCTGTTGGCTCCACTGCCCACCCTTTTCCATTTGCTATTACAGTCCTTTTAGTCCTGGGTGAAACATTCTCTGTTGTCTTCACTCATTCTGTAATAACACATCACAGCTCCAGCACACACAGTCAGAAGTGGCAGTTTCTCAGCTCCAGTAAGTTCAGAACTCCATGAAGACTAAATTACTTCTGTTCCAGAACTCACCTTCCTTGAGATCAAGTTAAGCTCATTAAGGAGACAAGAGTTTTGGGAAGTCTGTGCTGTAGCCTTGCCTTTCAGCTGCACCTGTCACGCGTAAACACTTTGGATTTTTGTATTTCCACAGCTGTGCAGACCCATCACTATAATGTCCTGCTGGTGGTTTTCACATTGCCCAAGTCGTGCTGCTGGTGAACACATCCAGCAAATCAGCATGGCCTCATAAACAGGGCACCTGACTGTGCTTGGGAGACTGAGATTCCCTTTCTGATTCTGACCCTTTGATGAGTCTGGGACCATCACACCTGCACTGTGCCATTGCTCCAGCCTTCACAGCCCACTGCGCTTCCACTGCACGCGCTGCGGGGCAGGGCTGGCTCACACTGCTCAGTTTTACAGTGCCAAGCACAGACAAGGCCCTGGACACTTCTGTACATGGCAGTAAGAAATCCACTGTTAAACCTCTCTGTAATTATTCTTTTTCTTTTCACATGTAAATGTTCACAGTTTAATGGAATGGAAATACCTGACTTGCTTTACTCCAAACTAATGAATCGAGTTAGTGCCATCAGAAGCTTCTTCTTGCAATTTAGGGACCAAGAAGACAATAAAAGAAAAGAAAGAGAACCAGCTATTCATTCAGTCTCCTTGTTGAGTCAGCACCAGGATGGTTATTTTTAATAAAAAGATAGAAATATTTATGCCTGAAGGACTAAGATTTGTTGAAGCTCAAGAGCTATGATAGAAAGAAATGTTGGGGGTTTTTTCCTTCCATTCAGTATTTACATATAAAAAGCATCTACTTTGCATATAGTACCTGTCATTGTCTCCAACTCAATAAGAATCTATGCATAATATTTACAGGAAAGAATGCTGAGGTATGTAACTGCTAATATTAAATATTATTTTAAAGTATACTTCAATGTGTTATTACCAGAAGTAAAACTATACTCCAGAAGGAAGACTGTCAGAAAACCAGTAAAGTGGCCTTCAATTAATATCTAGTTAGAGAGTACATTTTCTTTGCATCAGTAAATTCTGTTTTAGCTTGGTGGACCTGATACTATGTGGGAGCTCGTGAGGAATACAAGGGGCCCACACGCCTTAGCTGTGGGCTTCAGATTTGGGTGATAAAAAGGTGCATTGTTCATCCTCTCTTGATGCTTTCTGTACTTTCTTGGTGTGAACAACTTGTGATATTTCTCAGTTGCATTTCCCCTCAGCTCTGAGGATCAGCCATACTCAAAATATGTCAATTCTTCCACCACATCCCTTTTAACAGCCAATTTTATTTTTTCCCATCCATATTAGTAAAAAGCCACCCAGGTCATCATCATCTTGCACATCACCCACTGTAATCTCCCCTTCCCTCTGGTTTGCTTCCCTGTACCTGGTATGCCAAGTAGAGCCCTCTCCAAATACTACCCAAGCAATCCATAATGCAGCAGAGCCAGGAAACACCTGAGTCCTGTAATCCTATCCTCCACATTCCTCTCTAACTCCGGTCCCTCAGCACTGCTCTTCTGCCAGCAACCAAGGATTTCCTAGCACAGGTTAACAGCTTGATTGTCTCTCTCCCCAGGTATGGATCAGAGCCAAGGTAAAGATCTAATCTCAGGTGTTAGGAGTGGCAAGAACTTCCTTGATTAAAAAAGTGTTCTTAATGTTTTGCCAGCTCTTCTCCTCACTTCTCACCTAGTAGGAAATGAGTGACACAAGAAATATTTCTACCCTCAAAGCTCTCTAATATGGATCAGATCATTACCATATGTCTTCAGGTTTGGTGTTCTATTTTTTTTTTTACAGAGTTGGTGTAGATCCAGATGAAGATCTTAAAGCTGAAGCTGCAAGCCAGGTATGTCAGGATTTTAGACATACATGCTAATTTATTTTTTTTTAAAGTGTTCAGCTGTTGACAAATCACGTCTGGAATTAAAAAGGAGAATGCGTAATGTTCAATACTAATAGCTCAGGTTTCTAAAAATATTTTTCAGTTAGTTTTCACATGGAAGACTAAGTACATTGTGAAGTTGAAAACTTTGAAGGGAGCTCTTGAACAAGCTGCAGCTATTCATCTGCCTCCTTCCCTTTTTTGTCACACATGTAAGGCATTGTTCCAAATGCAGGGCTGCCTGCAGCAGCAGGAGAGATCTGTAGAGAGTCGATGTACAGGACACAACGTGTGCTTCAGCATGGCAAGGGGAACAGCAGAACCACTGGGGAGAAGCCACACTAGAGCTGACAAGTTGCTAAAGCAAAAAGCAAACAAGTGCCTAATGCCACGTTCCTGTTTCTAGGAATACCATCCCACACACACTTTCAGACTATGCAAATGGAACTGGAATTCAGCAATTATACAAATGTAGAAAATAAGTTGGGGAAGATAAGAATAAGATACTTTATTCACTTGAAAATACATCAGAGATATCATTAGGCAGAATTTTAGTATACCTTACATACTGAGTATTCCTAACCTTTACACATTTGCCCATATCTGAAGGCACATAGGGTGGGTCTCAGCTTTCACTGAAATGGAAAGGAATTCTGATGCCTAAGTGTCCTGATGTTTTTTTGAAAAGAAGAAAAACCAATATTATTCATACTGACCACATCCTCAGTTTTACAACCCAGTCACTATTAAAAAGGCTGGAATAACACTTCATTGCACCATGCCAAGATACTGATTTATTCTGTCTGAGGAGACTTGTGACTAAATTCACTTTCCTAAGCATCTTGGTAGGAATTCCTACAATGCCTCTGTCCAAATTCTGAAAAAGGGTAGGACACAAAACCATAGTCTATTCTTGAACAGAGTTTAGAGATACATAATTTCAGAAATTTTCTACTCTGCAGCACTCGTGAATTATCAAAGACCGGGGAATGCAGAATAAAGCATAAAATTGCCTGAATGTGTGTTTTGCAAAAACCTGATTTCTTCAGAAGCCGATAGGCATCTGATTTTCTCAATATTCTATTAAAAATGAAAATAGTAATGTTTATTCATAACAATAACACTTTCAGTGTCCCAGCTCTGCCCTGTGAATTAACACCTATCTCTGCTGACAAAACTCAGCAATACAACATGGAAGGTGTAAAAAAATATAACACCTTTCATGCCCTATCATATCCAATTCAGCATTCCTTATAGTAGTAAATTATACCTTGGAAAATAATTTTGCTGCTCTGATTAATTCTCCCACCCCATCTCACCCCATGGTACTCTATTTTTATTTGTCTATATTTTTCTGTATTTTATATATCAATCTTTTAGTAATTCAGACCTTTGCTGCATGCCATGTAGCACTCTCTGGTTTAACTCAGTACCTACCATAGTTATTCAATTTAAATCAGGTTGTTTCTTTTAATTTTCTCTTTCATCTCATGTCTCATTTCTCTTCTTCTCTTTTTTTTTCTTTCCCTTCATTTCTAACATGATGTTTTTATTTAGTTTGCCTTTCATTACTTTTCATTTTGTTTCTATGTTTCTATGTCTTCACAGCGAAAGCAATGATTTTCCTGCATATATCCCTGGACAAATAACGTGCCAAGTGCCAGTAACTCCCACTGCCAGTTAAAGCTCTCACCCAGATGAAGTTCAAACCATGTGCCAACTCCCTCTGTTGTTAATTGAAGCTTCATGGGAGATTGCACCAGAAATAAGAACTAAATATGTTAAAAAATAAAATGTTTAAAAGAGAGCAAAAGTTAATGGAAAATAAGCCTCTAGGCTCCTCCCTGATCATCCAGAATGGGAAAGCCACAATATCTGCTACTGAGATTTGAATTTAGCTCCTCTGGGACCACTCTAACTACCAGGATTCAGGGTACCTTACTGTATAGATCTCAATCTATATCTCTAACAAGACCAAGACCTTTTTAGGGGCAGAATAAGCTTTAAACACCTTCTACCTCATGGGCACTGTCAGATGCAATACCAGCTATATGACTGCATAACATTTTTCCTTCCCTACCTCTTCATCTTTACATTCCTTCTTTCCTTCCTTTGCCTCCCACAAATTCAATTTCTTTGAAGAGATTTGATGGATTTATTCAAGAATTCCACATACACAGTGGTTTCTGGACTTCTGGTTATGCTCTATTCTGGGCTCCCTCAACCAATAATTTTGGCAGCCAGCTGGCAGCAGATTCCAGTTCAAACTGTAAGACCTGGAGCCCAGGGCTCCTTCCCTAGCAAAGGCATAGAGGCTTTTAATGTATAATTAACCATGATCTCATCCAGCAAAAGCATATCTCAGTTTCTTTGTGTCAGTTCTCCCCTGCCTTTCCTTAAATTTGTTTATCATTAAATCATTATCCCAGCATAAGCACCATAAACAGAAAAAATAATAGCCCCATATTCATATCCACTTATTTACTGATGGACTCCCATAACTTAGTTTCAAAAGAAATTCCATAATACATGCTACAAATAATACATATTACTGTAGAGAAAATAATATATAAAAAAACAAGCAAAAGCAGTTTGCTGCACATCACATACATCCAAACACCAAAAGGTAACTGAAAAGCACAATGCAGAATACACAGTCACCAAGCAGAGTTACAAAGCTGATCTGTTGAAAAAAGGCAAAAGCTTTTATGGCAGTGAGCTTTTTAACTAACTTTCCATAAACAAGGACAACCAATAGCATATTTTATTCAGGTGGCTTACGTATCCCAAACTGTGCTGCATTAATCTCAACTGAGACAGTGTAAGAATATATTTTCTACAAGCACTTTGGAAAAAAAGTACTTTGTAGATGTACTATTGATCTCAGGAGAAAACTAAATAGCCTGAAAAACACCTATCAGTATCATCTCTGTCAAATTAATATTCACAGTTGATTTAACCATCCCTGTATTTTTATAAGTATAACATGGAATTTAGTTATATTTTTCTCATCAGTTCCATCTGCCAGCTGGTTGGTGAATTTATTGCAAGTTACTAATGAGAATAATCTCCATATGAGCAATTCCCATATGGAAGAAATGAGAAACACTGTCATCCTCACTTTCCAGAGAGAAAATCATTGTGTGGAAGAGGTGGAGAACTGTCCCCCCCACTTTTACCTCTCTGAACCGTAGGGAAAATGAAAAGTTACTTTTTAAGATCACAGGATCTACAACAGCCCAAGAGCATTCACACCAACATCTCCCACCACCCCTTGACTGCACTGTTTATGCAGGAGCTGCACTACAGGTAACCACCCAATTCCCATTCCTGCAAAAGCTGGTAACACGACACAGGTTTCACAGACAAAAGGAGGAAGGTGCAACACATGTCAAACTAGAAATAAAAGGAGGTCCAGGTCAGGCCCAGAAAACCCCTGGGGAGTTTTACCCTTGTGTAGACTTCTTTGTCCACTGTTTTCAAACAGGAACAATTCATGATCCTGTATAAGGAAACTTGTTCCCATAGGAGGAAGCTGGATATACAATGAGTTTGGAAAGAGGAATTAACCAACAACACTGTGGCTTCTGAAAGCATTAGTAGTCAAACCAAGGACATACAGGCCATTTTCAGAGCTCCCTGTGCTTTTAAGAAGCCCTCCTCTGCACTGCACACAAGAAGCCCACTCCATGATATGTTTATTTCCACGCCTGACCTTCTCTTTCTCATCTCTACCCCTGTGCACTCTAGTTCTTCACTCTTTTATTCAGTGTTCCTGTGGTTCTGACCTAACATAGACCTTTCCTGTAATCACACTTCCTGCTTAAATGTTTCAACTCTTTTCCCAATTTTTTATCTTTCCAAAATGCATTATTAGATATTAAGAGCTTAGAATAGTGTTCTGCTGCTAGATTAGGGATGAGTACCATCTTCTTTCCCCCTCCAGCTTCCCCAATTACTAGGGAGAGTTGCTAGAATTTATGTGTATGCTAGTGTTTAATAAGAAATCATATCTTAATATATTATTAGATTAAAACATGAAAATTAACAGATAAATCTCTTTAAAATTGCATAAGAAAAAATATTTCCATTAAAAATAACTGCACTTGCCACAAAACACAAACAAGACAATAATTGAGTATCCTTAGAAAACTGGCCCTCCCATTCCTAATTCCATCCTGCCACTAAGACTTCTTAGTACTGATGTGATGCCCAGAGTAAGACCAAACTGGCTGTCCGTACAGATAACTGTTCCTTGTACTATTCCCAGTTATGACCCTGAGTAAAGGACAGTCCACCTCTCTACCTGTACAGCACACCCCAAAATGAGCATGCAGAGCAGAAAGTGGCATTCTGAGTCTTCTTGATTCAAGTAATGTTCCTCTCCCCTTGGAAAGAAATATAGAAAGGAGTTTCATAATTATTAGAATATCTCAATCCCTTTGGGAATGACGTTTTGTTAGACATACATGAATAGCATCTGATCTTGTAGGAGTAAACCGAAGTAATCCCACAATGGCAATTAAATCTAAATATCATTTTATTGATCTCAGAAATATAGTGCTTCTCGGCTGCTTAATAAAATTGGAACCGTTAATAAAAGTAAATGAGTGCAGCAATGAAAAATGTGCTATATGAACCAATTTGCTCCTGAACTGATTCACAGAGATGACATCTGTGCACCAGCAAAGCTTTTTAAATTAAAAAAAAAAGTGCAGTTAATTTTAATTTGGTTTGACATGCATTTTTAATATGGGAACTCTATGTTTTATTTATTTTATAAAAATGCTTTTCACTTCATTCATTTGTTTGTTTTGCAGAGTGCATCTAACTTGGATAAAAATACAACCAAAGCTGAGAGTGCGTGGCTGTTCAGAATATGGTATGGCTTTGACCATAAGTATCCTTTGCTGTTATAAGACATGCATTATAGTTGCATTACAAATGTCACCTTCAAAATATTTAGGAATCAAAAATTATTATACTTTGAAAAACAAAAGCATAATCTATTTTAATGGGTTTACTAAGGAGAAGAAATTGTGAGAGTCCAAAGCAACAGAAGGTCTAGAGAAGCCGGGCAATGTGGTGGTTGTACATTCCTGACTTAGGCTACGGGAGTGAGAACAAGTTAAGAAGCTCTGACCTACAATAGGTTTAAATAAATTAACCTTTTTAAATTCCTGGATAAAGCTAATCCAATTATTATTTAGATAGGGTGTAGATACTCTGTTTGGGGAACCAGGTTAGAGACAGAAGCCTCCAAATGGCTGCTGCCTGCCTGCATACTCACAAAGCAGTGAGTACCCCAGAAAAAAGACAACATTGTTTTATCCACACCTCTTACAGAGAAAGAGGCATCCATTGTGAAAGGTTCATAGGACTTCCCTAAAACTTATACTTCCTATTCCCTGGATTCCTGAGCCTTTGTGCTTTTACTCACATTCCTACTGAGGTGTGTATGGTGGAGATCTTGAATATGAGTGTCTGATGCTTTATTCCAGAAAGTCTGGTTTCCATGTCTTTTGCTTTTCATGAAAATATTTTAAGTGATAAAAGAACATCCTCCCTAAGCCAAGGCATTAGTCTGCCACTAATGCCCGTGCAAAACCAGCAACAGCTACTATTGTCATTTTAAATTACCAAAGCTTTACATACCTGTCAGTGAGATCCCCCAGTAACAATCATGCCCTAAGCCTTTAACAGAGATATTCAGGGAATATAAGAGAAGCCTGCCTGCTAATTTCCACACATCCTGGCTCAGGAGCTGAACAGGCAAAGCCCTACCAGTACTGCCTCCATTATCCAATAGCACATCTATTGGTCCCTCACCCTGCACTGCTGAGCAGAGATTAACGTTCAGGCTGCATATATATTTTTCTGATACCAGCTGCAGCAAACCAGGATGACACATTTCAGCTGATAAAATGTAACTCTTTGGGAATACAGCTTCCTTAGAGAGTTCAAGTGAAGTTATCCTTCAAAGAGACTTTTTATGGAAAAAACATCTTTTTGGTTAAAAATGAATATATTGCTCTAATTCATCTAGCCAAGCAGTTTTAAAGGCCAAAAAGCACTTAGCATTAAAATGTTTCCCTAGGATAATTCTTCAAAAATACATAGAAATAGTAGGTGAATGTTGTATGAAGGGGGAAAATACTTTTAAATGTTAATGCTGAGTACCACCATAACTGGCTTTAACCATCCCTTTTTCACAAGGAATAGCCTGTGGTTATGATTTATCCTTGGAAATATAAGTCAGAAAGAACAGAAGAGAAAAAGAGAGAAGTCAGAGAAAGGAAAAATGTGGAAAGCAGGAACAGGAGGAACAGGACAGAAGCATGAGTTAAAAAAAAAAAGACATGAAAGAGAACAAGGGTAGAGCTAGAAAACAAGGGACAGAGGCAGAAGAGAGAAACAGAAATAAATATGAAAAAGACAGGCAACAGTACATGTAAAATGAAGCCTGTAGAAGGCACCAGAAGCACTACTTCTCAGAGATTATCTGTATGGTAGAGATCTTGAATATAAGTGACTGATGCTTTATTCTAGAAACTCTGGTTTCCATGTCTTTTGCATTTCAAGTAAATATTTTAAGTGATTTTAAAAAACAATATTCTTAAAGAGAACAAATTTATTCATGTCAATCTCTCTTCCACTTAAGTCATAATCTTTCTTTAGAATTCAGATGCTCAGAGATTATAGCTGTGCCATTATCCTAAAATATATTTTTATTAAAAATAATACTTCAACATTTTACTAATCCTGAAAATGTATGCCCATATTCCTGCATGGAATGATGGTTCAACCCACTAATGCTGTGACTCACAGCTCTAAGCATTTCTTTGGTATGACTATTTCTGAAAGACATTCTTTTCAGAGAGAGAGAAATTATCCACCCAAACTTTCTTCTGCCTTTCCCTGCTTAATGTTACAAAGCTGAGTTGCTAAATTTAGAGAAGTTGTCATGTAGCACAGTATTTATGCCCAATACAAGATTGCAGAGAGCATTATGATGAAGTTTTCAAAGAAAAGATACAGCAAACCAATAATCTATGTGGTTATATACATCGAAAGCATACAAGACTGACATTTCTATAGTTTGACATTTGCTCTTAGGCATTAACACAAATCTACCCACTCTTCTGGCAATAACATCTCTTGTGCCTACTTATTTCACCAAAGGAAAGCAAGAGGGAAGAAATACCACTAAGGAAATCAAAAAGTTGTGCTGTTCCTCGCTGTTCTTATGAATGATTTCCAATTAGTTCAGTGGTCTTGGGCAATGGCAACACGCCATGCTAGGGTAGAACTATACAAAAAAACCTGCAATTCTGTCTGAGTCAAATTTTATTTTTATTCTGAAAGAAACAGCAGGAGCCTGATTCAGAGCCAAATGGGTTCAATGAGGGTTGTTTTCTCTAAGTAAGTATCTTTGAATCCGGTATTGACACCTAGGAAAAACATATTGTTCTCTAAAATCTAAGCTAAGAAATGTTAATATTGGAATAACAAAAATGAAGAACAGATCATTTAATTACTTAGAGTTATCCTCTTGGATTTTCATCTCAGTAATTTAAACAAGGAAAATGCAAAATAAAATACTTGTATCTGACAGTGGGCAAATTCCAGTGAATGCATTTCAGCTTCTTTGTTTTTACAGCTTACAATGCATTACACCATTTGAAGCCATAATATCCTACTTAAGGCTAGGAGGAAAACAAGGGAATAAACAAAGGTATTTCAAGAATTTATTAGGAAAAAAGACCGCACAGATTAATAATCCAGCACTATATACATGTCTTCATGCTGTTGTGTTTTCTCAAGGCAGATGTAGACAATTTTAGTTAACAAATGAATAAGTAGGTGGAAATTTCATCCTGCAAGGGCAAGAACCTGTGTACATATGAGCAGAGCTCAGACAAATGATGAGCAAAGGTGTCCCATTCCAGAGCATCACAAAATTATAACTTTACTTCCAGGTAGTAGCAATTTGCTGTTAACTCTGCTCAGTCCCAAACCTCTCTACTTGCTTAGTCTAACGAATATTATTTGATTTTGCCTGCCTAGTCCTAAAATGCTGTATATCTGATGGGAGTTAGAATTCCTCCCTTATAGAAGCCTGTGTTCCAAGTTACAATCTACTGCTAAAAATTAAGGACAATTCATGTAAGAAGAATGTCTTCCAAACTACCTTCACCTATTTTACCAGCTACTCTAGACTAAACTCCTGCAATCATTTCCAGCTTAATATGATCTTATACAAGGCTCTTCTTTGTCCACTGAGGCTTCTTTCTCTCTCATAATTCATATAATTCTTGCTCTTGCTGACTGTTCTGTAGCATCAGTCAGGAAGACAACTAAACTGTTCTCCCAGCTTCTCATGTTGTGTAGTGAGAGGAGAAGGAAGGATGTGGGATTGCTGCACTAAAACACAAAAGTGAAAAAATAATTGAAAATGAAGATGAGAAAAGCAGAGCATAATATATGCACTAAGATGTTTCTATCCATAAATGTTCACCATCTTCATAAGGAGAAGCCTACACTGTGTTGCAGGATAAGTACTTTAATAGTACATGCTGAAACTTGCACTGAGAAAAAAAATAGTTACTGCATAACAGGAAAACATGTGCAAGAATACAATGGAAGAAAGCAAGAAGGGGAGGAAGAGGGACAGAGGCTTCAAATGCATGGTAAGTCTCTTTGAATACTCTGTAAGTACTAAATTGCAAGACACGGGTCTTAGACCCACCTACAGCTAAGTCTGATGTTTTTTTTTCTGGACTGAGGTGAGGATGACATTGCATGTAGTGTAACCTTCCAAATTAAACAGCATGACCAGAGCACTAACACTGCCTACCTCCAGCATATATGTGAGGGGCCAGAGAGGCACGAGGGTTGCTGTTTGTTGGCTGGTATGGGTGCTGTAAGTATTGCAGTGACAGGCCTACTGCATCCCTGATACTGCTCCAAGCTACCAAATAGCAATGTAGGCTGTCCAGCTTGCACAGGGCTTTGCTTTCTGAGTGGCTCACACACACACTGCCACCAGTAGAGTAGTAGGAGGAGACCTTTCTCCTTCTCTACAGATTTCATTTCAACCCCGGGAACTAACATTCAGTTACACTGAATAGAAGCAGCGTCTGGGACGGAGTGAGACAATTCTCCATAAAACAACTACTGAAAGTGTTTCTACTTGAACTGCAGTTATCCATCATTCAGATGCATACCTTTCAGGGTTGTTTTTTTTAGAGAGGCTGTTTATGTCCTTTGCACTTACCTGAAATCAATCAGCCAAAAGGAATTGCGTTATTTGTAGACTTCAAAAGTTTATCTGCCTTATCAGGGCACCTATCATTTTATTTCTCCTGTGCCTTGTACGTGGATAAAACAGACATAATGGCTGCCTATGGAGCAAGATAAGTACTATTCCATGCCTGTGAGAAAATGGAAAAGCCACTAAAAGCAAAAGTGCATTCTAGGGTGAACTGACAATCAAAATAAAACCTCAGCATTTTGTGGTCTTCAGCTGAATTTTCCTTCTGGGCTGACTTGTCACTCTGGTATCAGAGACAGACATCTTTAGAAGGGAAAGACAAGAAAGAGACTTTAAGCATGTATGTGCACACTATTTTCATTTACCAGCTGGAGAATTAAAAGTTTCTTAACTACCAATATTCTGATTTGTTATTCTTTTATCACTTCAGTGAAAACAGCAAGATAGCACACAGTGTCCTGATTTTAGACCAGAAGCTGATTTTGCTAGACAATTTTTAAACAGAGAAAAGAATCTTATCTCAGAGAGACTTCAGTCTAACCATAAATCAAAGAAGCATTAGATAACACTACGATTCAGGTCCCACTCAAGCACTAATGCAGAACTGGCTGGCAGGACAGGTAGCC